GCCCGAGTGCGGCGAAAATCAAGCTTCCTCCACTGGTGGTGAAGCAAGTACCACTCAACACGCTGATTGGCGATCTCTCATCGCTGGGCATTGCAGCTGAGTTTAAGCTCGGCAGGATCGGCACCAAGGTGATGCTGCGAACAAAAGCGGAGTACGAAGTGGCCGTGAAATATATGAAGGATTCTAAGGCGGAATTCTTCACGCACGACATCCCCGGTGAGAAGCCCTTCAAGGTAGTCATCAGGGGTTTACCAAACTTCGACCCCAAGATGGTCGAAGCTGAAATCAACCGGTACAAGCTAGCCCCAATCGCTGTCTTCCGAATGACAAGGAGAGACGAAAACGTGAAGACGTACCCGGATTGTCTCTTCCTGGTGCACTTCCAGAAAGGGACGACGACTCTCAATGCGCTGCAAGCCATCCGATCGATCTACTCCATCATCGTACGATGGGAACCATACTGTGGCGACCATCGTGACGTAACGCAGTGCCAGCGGTGCCTCAATTTTGGACACGGTACCCGCAACTGCAACTTCAAGCCACGCTGCAGCAACTGCGCTTAAGAACACGCCACTTCCAACTGCCCTGCGGATGGAGCCGTGGCGTTAAAATGCGCCAACTGTGGTGGTGCTCATCACGGTTTCGACAGACAGTGCTCCAAACGCAAGGACTTCAAACGCATCCGAAAACAGGTGGCAACTAACAATCAACCAGGACGCAAGAAGGACAAAGTCCCGGCATTTCGGACGGAGGATTTCCCGCCTCTTCGTGCTCCTCAGCAAAGGCAAGCGAATTCACAGGTGCATCCCACTCAAGCAGCTTCCGGTGATTCTGCTGGTCAAAGCTCTCCATCTCCCCCTGGATTCTGGAGACAACCAACAGCGCAAAACAACAACCCCGATCTGTTCTCAGCGGATGCACTGATGGAAATTTTCGTCAACATGTCCGGTGCTCTTCGTAAGTGCCGCAAATAAGCCCGAACAGATCCAAGTGCTCGGTAAGTTCATCATCCAGTATGGCGTCTAAACCGCTAACTATCGTCACCTGGAATGCTTGCTCCGTAAGAGCAAAAAGGATTGAGTTTGCCGACTTCCTCCGCAAGCACAGCATCGACGTGGGTCTTCTAACCGAGACCCATCTAAAGTCCGGCGACAGCTTCTGGTTGCCTGACCACAACATTATCCGGCTTGATCGCACCAGCTCCAGGGGGGGTGGTATTGCGGTCGTCGTCAAGAAAGGAATAAAATACCACACTCTGTCCCATATCCGCACCTCTATCATCGAGGCCCTTGGTGTGGAGGTGGAGTCGTCGACTGGATACGTCCAGTTCATCGCCGTCTACTGCCCTCGACAGTGTGCCGCCAGCAGTGGACTAGCGGCTAAATTCAAGAAGGACCTGACCACCATCACCCGTACCGGTTCCCGCTTCGTAATCGGAGGAGATCTAAATGCTCGCCATGAGGCCTGGCGGAACTACCAGCAGAACCAAAACGGTCGTCTCCTGTTCGACCACTCACAGCATGGGCTGTACTCCGTTTGGTTTTCGGATGAACCAACATTCATCTCACCGGCGGGCAACCCATCGACGCTAGACCTGTTCCTGACATATATCGGCTTGTCCAAGCCGGTAGCCTTGAACGAACTCAGCTCCGACCACCAACCGGTGGTGGCTGAACTGGGCTGCAACGTGGCTCCTGCTTCAAGCCTGCGCAAGGACTACCATCGCATTAACTGGGCCCAGTTTGGACGCGTGGTAGACAGGCACATCATCGACAACCCGCCGCTTGACACCGTGGAGGACATCGACCGAGCGTTGGAGGGACTCCAACAAGCCATGACCATGGCTGACGAGGCGTGCATCCGACGAGTTCCTGTGAGGGGTAAGTTTATTGCCATTGATTCCCACACCCAACTCTTAATTCGCCTGAGAAATGTTCGTAGACGCCAGTTTCAGAGGACTGGAGATCTGGGCAAAAAACGTGAAATGGCCGATCTGAACAGGCAGATTGCTTCCAGAATGGACTCACTCCGAAATGAAAGTTTCGGGCGTGTTGTCCAGAATCTGGACGACCGCTCCAGACCATTCTGGAAGGTAGCCAAGGTCCTGAAAAATCATCCCAAACCCGTTCCACCTCTCAAAGTCGAAAATGATGACGATCGGCTTTTAATCACCTCACAGGAGAAAGCAAATGCGATCGGCAAGCATGTCGCTTCATCGCATTTGCTTGGCTCGACTATCCAAAGTCCGCTCAATGATCAGGTTGCGCAATGCGTTCAAAACCTAGATACCTCCCCTTGTGTCGTGCCTCCGGCGGATATGATTACAGTACAACAGATTTGCCCAGCGCTGAAATGCACCAAGAACATGAAGGCTCCCGGGTTTGACGATTTATTCCACTTGATCTTGAAGAGACTCAGCATGAAAGTGCAGTCTCTTCTAACCGCTATCTTCAACAGATGCTTGGAACTGCACTACTTTCCAAGCATCTGGAAAGTAGCAAAAATCATACCAATCCGCAAGCCCAGTAAGGATCCAACATTGCCTTCAAGCTACAGACCAATCAGCCTCCTTTCAACGCTGAGCAAATTGTTCGAGAAACTCATTCTCAATCGTTTGCTCAAGTTTGTCGAGCAAAATAACATTCTCCTTCCGGAACAGTTTGGATTCATAAAGGGGCACTCCACCGCTAGCTAGTACGGATGATGAATAACATCCGAAGTAACAAAGCTGCATCCAAGTCCACAGCCATGGCGTTATTAGACGTTGAAAAGGCGTTTGACAATGTTTGGCATGACGGACTTGTGTACAAGCTTTGTAACTTCAACTTTCCATTGCATCTGGTTAAAATCACCCGTAACTACCTTCAGCAAAGGTCGTTTAAGGTATCGTTGAATGGTTGTCTTTCCGACACGTTTTCCATCCCAGCAGGAGTCCCGCAAGGCAGTCTGCTGGGCCCCTTGCTTTACAGCATTTACACTTCCGACATTCCTCCCCTCGGAGACGGTTGCGTGTTTTTCCTGTTCGCAGATGATACCGCAATAGCCGTCAAAGGAAGGATGCCTCGCGAAATAACGAACAAACTTCAACGATGCCTTAACGCCTTTGCTGATTATGCCACCACGTGGAAAATTAAAATCAATCCCTCCAAAACACAAGCGATCATGTTCCTACATCGGCAATCGACCAAACTGAAACCGGCTCCATCTTGTACTGTAATCATGGATGGCACAAGGGTTGAGTGGTCTGCCGAAGTAACCTATCTCGGGATGTTGTTCGATGAAAAGCTCCTCTTCCGTTCGCTTGTAGAGAAAACAGTAGTCAAGTGTTCTACCTTGGTTAGGTGTCTGTTTCCGCTGATTTGCCGCAGATCCCGCTTCTCAAGGGTGAACAAACTAGCTGTCTACAAACAAATCATAGCACCTGCGATCCTCTACGCAGCTCCGGTGTGGGAATCACAGGAACAAAATTCAGGTCGCTCCCCCCCCAAGTAATACGACAAGTGGTTCCTGGGGGAAAAGGGCAAGGCGCAAGGAGGTTTTAGTGCGGCAAGAATCCCACACACCGTGTCACCGCGACCGTGCACCCGGTCATCAAGCGGTGGCATGATGGCCTTTTAAAGGTTTCCTTCTAGCCAAAAAAAAACACACACAATGATAAAATCTGACCCTTCTTACTAATAGAAATTTCGACTAAAGTGCTTGATTTAAAGTAACGCATGAGTGAGTTTGGTCCTGAGTTGCTAAAAACTAAGATCGTGGTTCCCGGAACATGGCCAGATGTGGCCAGTATAATCCTGTGCTCTGATTATTACTACCATTGAACTGGCTTTTGAATTCCAGCCGCACAACCACGATGCTCTTTCATTAAATAAAGTTCCTTAGGCATTGTTTCATGATTCACGGGAATCCCCACTAGACTGATGCAAAATTTGACTTTTTCGCTCCACAGTGCTTAAATGGTTTCAAATCGGGTCGTGATTAGCCTGCAAAAGTTACAACTCATTTGGTTAGAAACAGACTTCGCACAAACCATTTGAAGTTTACATGTAAATTATTATGGGAAATCTCAAATTTTTGTTCATTGCCTTCTAGTCTTTTTCTATATTAAGCTACAAAACAGCTCGTTAGCTATTCTTATAGAAAATTTTCTCAGCTACAACTTTGCTGAAAATCGTTTCTATGTAAAACGAGACAGGAAATAGTTATTAATTATTTAAGAGATTGGTAAACTTATGACATGATCAAGCAGCTGCTCTGTAGGCAACACTGTATTTTGCAGTGTGACATAGTAGCCATAATTTTTGTGTCCTATTCAACGCCCCAGAAACACCAATGTTGCCTGCTGAGCAGTTGATTGAGCATGATCATAAGACTTCAGTGCATTGAACCATTAATAACTTTCGATCCTTGCATTTAATCAAAAAGTGGTCTTGGGCAAAGTTGTAGCTGGGAAAATTTCCTACAAGTAAAGTTGAAAGCTTTTGAAGCAGACCGATATGGTGAATTATTAGATAGACATGAACAAAAATCTTAGTTTTACCATAGTAATTCCCATACAAACTTCAAATGGTTTGTGCCATCACAGTTTCTCACCAAATGGGTTCAAATTTTGAGAGGTTAGTCTGGATCCGATTTGGAATCGTTTAAGTATTGTGGAACGAAAATTTCAAATTTTGCATCACTCTAATCCCCACCCACATGATATCGCAACAGAACACTCAGAACAATATGAGGCTTAATAAAACAAGTAAATTAAAGACAGTCATGTTTTTTGCAGAAATACTACACTCATTTTTTTTTTATTTCTCATAGATTTATGGAATACAATAGAGTTGATTTGTTTTCTTATTGGTTTGTTGATGTTAAAACTTTGTGTTGTGTGACAAAGGGGGGTTTCAATAAATATATGTATATACCTCCATTATATGGTACTTTTTTTTTTTTGGCCTATACATATTCAAATGTGAGATTGTTTGCATTGTTATAAGAATACTTGCGTATGTTTACAATACATATTCATTTATTCAACGATTATACGCGTTGCAATGGGTTATGTGTTTTCAAGGAACCAAACTAAATATATGTTAAACAATCATTGTTTTCGTTTTTTTAAGCAACACAAATGATGAGAGATAGAACACAAAAAGGATTTATTTACTTTTTTATTTGGGATTATATTGTTTATTACACCAATAACGTAGTTGTTGCTCTCTTTAATTATGTATTGTAATTTCATGGCTTTTTTTTTCTCTAGATGTTACCGATGCACAGTTATTTTCTCATAAGCCTTCAATTTAACGTCCTCTGACGATGAAGATCGTGATAAGTAAGGAGACGTGTTAAGCTTTCATAATTTTCATTTGCAGCATTTATTTTGATTGTTTCAAAAGTTTCTGTAGCAAAGATGTTAATTTCATTACTTTTTTTTTAATTATTTAACCCACCTTGGGCTGCACTGAATATTGTCCTTGCGTTCATTACTTTGTTTTGTTCTTGAATGACTCATTTTATCTTTTTGATTATAAACACTTTTTAATGTTCTGGTTAAGTTTGGATAAGGTTAAGTATATTTTCGGATGTTGTTTTTTTTTATTCCGTACGTTTTCGACTAGCTTTTGGTTCGACTCTGATGCATCCAGGAATGAAATTCCAACGGAAAGAGCTCGATGTTGATTGCTTTGCTAGGCGAATGCGAACCAAAAACTAATTTTTCCATTCCTCAACGTACACACTCGCGCGAAGAAGTTATAGTCAAATTTCTAGTCTGGTTTAGTTCTGGTCGTTATACTCTGTTGGTAATCGAGCGTAATTTTCACCCGATGTTTCTTTAATACTAATTGTTCTCTTTGTTATCTGTGTCTGCGAATTGAAGATGATGTTATTTGGTAATTATAAAGTTTTTAAACAATATGACTTATATTTCATATACACTACATATAGATTTAAGTATCTTTGATAAAATAAATGCCTCATCTTGTATATATTTATCGATTTTTTTTTTATGGCAAATCGTTCCTTAAAGCTTTCTCTAGCTCGAAGTCAATGTTACGAAAAATATTATTTATTTCCCAAGTTTCAATGTAAAACTGGTTTTATCATACAGTAATTGCAAGCGAGGTCGCAATTTTCAGTGCCAAGGCCTTTTAGCAGCTTCCAAAAAGCATCAACAGCTCAAAATCACTCCAACTCACTGGCCTACGCTTAGATATTGACTCACATCATTTAACTATTTCATAAACGAAGCTTTACGATCCATGATATGTCTACAGTTCATATCGAACGGAGAGCTTCCTGCATACCTCAGAGGAAAAAGCTGCTTCTTTGCTGAGCGCGTAGAGCTTTCACCACTACGCACCCCGAATCGAGAGCTTGCGGCCCCTATGCCTCAATCCGGAATCGCCAGATGTTCAGCGGCCTGTGAGTTCCAAAGTTAAACTGTTATCAACACTTCGATTTTTGTCCATTTTCAAACTAAAATACACCTTTCTTGAAATGAAAACAAAAACGGAACTACACAGATTTCACAGATCAGCCAACAGGTCCGCCTACCTCTTCGATGCGGATTGCCTTCACATAAAGATCACGGAATTTGGGGCATCCCTAAATACACAGTGCTACTGGTCGATCTCGCACAAACTCCTGTCCTCCTTTCAAAAATTACATAATCAGCTCCATTTGTGAATGGCCGATCGTCGAGTAATAGACAATAGTTAGTATTCACTAAGTACAATTATCTCTATCATCTGATGCTGTGACTGTGACGTAGTTACTATTGATTGGATGAACATATCACTTGAAATTGTAGAAATACCGCCCTCTGCGTTCGCTTCTCGATTACTTAACATTATTAACATCAATCTCAAAGGTTTGGGTTTTTTGGCAAGGATTCTAGGAAAAAATTTGAAGGAATGCTCCTGCACTGCTCAAGTACGCATCAAGCGTATGAAATAGAGGAAATATTCAGTTGATTTATGGGAACATTTGAAGATTTGTGTTCGTGCGCGGGAAATCAGAGCTATGACTAAAAGTTGCCTTTCATCTCCCGAATTACGATTGCTAATATTCATCTGCCTGTAGCAACTATCGGTTTTGTAATTTACAGCTATATGCATTATAAATATTGATTTTTGTTTTAAGATGTATGCCTAGATGTACTTGTGCCGTAGTCCGTTTTTCGCGTGTGCCGGTTGTTCGTCATCGGTTTGATTGGTTTCCGTGCCCCATAGTGCTCTGCCGAACGGGGTAGTGGCCATCATCGTCACCATTATGTTCTGGCCACTACTCACTGCTGGCGCGAGATTGTGGATCCAAAGGCTTAGAGCTGGACGTTGAAGCCTTTCTTGGCGGCGATGGGAAGCTTTTCCCCTTCCAGGAAGGGATTGGAGCTCTTGTTTTTTGGGGAGAGATGGAAACATATATAATTAGATTACAATATTCGTTGGTAGGTATATGATGTCGATCAGCTGCGCTCAGAAAATCCACGACCGGGAAAAAATACTAAAGTGTAATTGACCTCTTCTGATTTGAACCAAATTTGGAGGAGATGTTTATTTCAGTCTTGTTAGCAGTCACGGTAGTTGACACATTTTCTGTGATAATCGACTGCCTTTGCCTCCGACATTTGCAAAACAAGCTATCATAGTACAGTACCAAGCTAAAATGTCATATGACAGGCTCTTTCATACGACATTGTCGCCTAAGACCATCATGAATGTATGTATTTTAATTTATTCTCATTATAAGAGCTGCTGATGTTGTGCTTGTGTGAATTCTGAAAATAACCTAGTAATAAAATTTCTTATCAGAAAAGGTTTAATTTACACCAAATTGAGTAATGAGAACGAAATCACACAAGTTCTGAAAACATGCGACGAAAAATTCAGAGAACTTTCGACGACAACTTCACAAAATTTCCGAGGAGAAATTCACAGAATCTCTTATGAGAAGTCCGCAGAAATTCCGAGGAGAGGTACAGAGAACTTCCAAGGAGAAATTCTAAGAACTACTTAATTGTCAGAACTTCCTACTAGAAATTCATATTGCTTTCGACGATAAGTTCATCCAGAAGAGCAGAATAATCAGAAGCTTGAATAGGCTTGTTGGCAAACATAGAACATGAACTAGGGGAAATATTATGTTGCGCAAAAGTCCGGATTTCATATTGTTGCCGACACATTCAAACACTCCCTACTATCTTCCGAATAAGATGCGCATAAATTTTCCTAATTAATTTGCTTCAGTCTATCGGATTGTCCACGAAGATGATGAAAAACAGTACTCGCGCAAGGACGTTCTAATTGGGACCAAGCCGTAATAATCTTTCTGATAGCTGTGGTCGGAACAGCTGCAGCGAATCAGATTTCGCAGAAAAATGACATGTTCGTGCATATGTGTGTGAGAGAGCAGTGAGAGATTTTCTATAATACGCCGCAATCGGCGTATTAAAGTTATACCAAGATTAAAATTGAGGATAATACGGCATGGTGCTTTGCAAAATCAAGGACAGTTCGAGATTGATGTATTATCCTCGATGGAGCTTACCACTATAGGTGTACGAGAAAGGCAACAATGGAATGGATCCAGCATGGAACTTGACAATCGAGCTTCGCACTCTTCTTAATGAATGCCCTTCGAAAATTTGTGCGTGGTGTTTGACGGAGTTGACCAATAATACCAGGTTTGCAGAATGATTTTTCTAATCTAATTTTGATTTGAATCGGAGTTTCTACCGCAGTATAGCACTTTGTATATCATTTTTGCTCAACACAATAAAATCAACCATAAACAAACACGCAATGCACTCAAATTTTCAACTTTCCCTTCGCAAATGTAAACAGTTAACAACGCCATTGGCGTTATCATTGATTCCGGCATCACTTCCAGTCATTATAGAGATTAGCTAAGAGAAGAGGTGACAATACGGGGGCGAAAAAAAACCACTTTTCTGTCAAACGCGAACCACTTCCTGATTGGTCGATTTCATGTGCGTAAGATAGAGATAGAGATAGATAAAGATAGAGATAGAGATAGAAATAAAAGAGGAAGAAGCCAATTGTCACCTCTTCCTCTTAGGAGATTAGTGACGTTTAACGCACATACACTAGCGGGTACATTGCCGTGTAATGTTGTTTATTATTTTTGATGATGTATGAAATTAGATTTGTCAAAATGAGTTTGACAGCGATTTGTTATGTATTTTCCTCTGATTTTTACTTACACGATCACACGGACTTGAAAATCTCTATATAGAACTGAATTTAAAAAGAGACGACATGTCAAATATGAAACAATCGATTATCTGTCAAAGTCATAGGAAAAGTTATTCCAATCGAGCAGAAGATCTATCAAAAAGATAATACCATAGAGGTAACTCTAAGACAAGAAGGTCCCGAAATAACGTGCTCAACTTTATGGCTCAGCTCTGGTACTCTCTTCGGTCCCAAGCTAATCGATTCACCCCTCGAAACATAAGAAAAACCAATAACCCCTCATTTTATCTGTCAAAATTCATAGCGAATCAAAACAAACATTGCGTAGTACTAGAATTTTGATTAGAATGGGATACGTTAATCGTTTGCTTGGGACCAATAGGCTAGTCAAGTAGTGAGCCAATTTAAAATCGATAATTTCGTATTGATTGTTGATAATACCCCGTTCACATTACAGCGTATATCATGTGATATACACTGTCTTGTAATGAGCACTCATACATCTAGTTTTCACTGGAAGTGAGTATGAGTTCTCATTACAAGACAGCCTATATTACGTGATATAGGCTGTAATGTGAACGGGGTATAAGATGTCGCGTATATGCCCAATTTAGTCTCTTTACCAGTCAGGTTGCTGTGATCCCTTTGTCCTTTTTATTCTATTATTGCTACTGTCAAATCAGCCAAGCAGCAACAGTGGCGGGATGTGCTGTCAAATCGGCCTACTGAAAATGCATCAATGAGATGTAAATATTTAAAATGGACCAACTGGTTTGTGCCGTAAAAAGGGAGGAGATGTAAATATGTAAGACCCTGGGTACTGCGGAGTCGACCAATTTTATTTTGCAAGCCAATGGAAAACTGCTTGAAAATTTTCTCAAGTTTAAAATTGATTTGCTATTTCTCAGTTGATTCCCGCCAAAAGCTCTAAGCCAGGAGTGCTCGAGCCCCCATGATTCTATCAAAGTTTGTTTACATACATGTTTCGCCAAAGTATGTTTTACTGTAATTGAAAACTCAGCTGCCTCATAAAAACTATGCTGGTTTTTATACTTTCATCACTAAGCTTGTTAGTTTTTATCTTTGAGCTTAAAATTAAGAATGTGTTATGAAAAAGTATAGAGCATTTTTATGAGATTACAATGCTTGACGGTAGATAAGAACAGTAACTGCATTTGCTGCTTCTGAATGTTTGGCTCCCGCTTGACAGTTCACACTGGCTCCCAAGTGACAAGCACCTTGAGTGAGTCCGCAGTACTCAGGTAAGACCCAATGAATTTGACATCTCTTTCATTCTCCCGCTGTTTAAACGGTTGAAGGAGTGTGGCGTCAAACTCCATCATCCATTTAATGGGCCGAAGAGCGAATGAGTCGACAGATTTACTGGACTCACTTGTTCATGCTCATTGATTTTCCATACGTGAATTTGGTTCCAAAAATCAACAAACCATCGTTTCTTATGACTTTTTTTCGTTTAAAACCAGTCATGCGAGGTAGGCGATGATTGTTCGTATTTGACAGTCACCTCCCTCCCTTGATCAGCAACTGGCTGGGATTTGACATAAAAAATTGGGTTGAATTCGCTACCCGATTGTAAAGTGTCGTCCCATGAATTGATATTTTCTAATAAATTATTTTTATCCATGCGTACCGTTTGATTTGATAAAGAATTATAAATCAAGTTTCAATTTCGTAGAACTACGGATAATTAATAATAAAATAGGGTAGAGCCACAGACAAACAGACGTAACTCTTCATTGTGTATCTTCGTTCACGCATTTAACTGTTGATTTGAACATTATCAGTTGCGCGAACGACTCGCCGCAGCGCTGGCATCGGATCACTTTGACGTTTCTATACATTCAATAGAACTTTTATGCAATATTCTTTGCGAGTTAGCGAGCAAGCTTATTTTCCGCGAGAAGCCAGAGAGATGTCGTTACTGAGGTCCTATGTTTTGAGATACTATCTTTTCAAGAACAACTTTTTCAAAGAGTTACATCTGTTTGTCTGTGGTAGAGCGTTACTTCGTCGAAATTACCCATTTCCGTACTATCGATCAGCAAAGATCAATAATATCAATGATTTCACCGTGCACAAATCAATTATAGGGGCAATGTCCCTAATTTGGGCCTAAGTGTCCCTAATTTGGGCCCATACATAAATTCAGCGATCGACTAAATTTTCAGTAGCAACCAAAAATATCCATTAGTACCGTCCCAATGATGCGTTCATCTAAATAAAATTGATCAATAGCAGATTTTTAGCGATGATTCCAATGTTAGATCCATAGACCAACATTAGAGCCATTTCCCCTAGCTTTGTTCCGATGCGTTAGTTCATTAGCTACAACATAAATGCTATTAGAGCGCATTGTATGAATATTTACGCTCATTGTTCTCAAAACAAAAGAAGCGCTCCTAGCGAATCCCATTTTTCGACGTTTATCCTCAGGACGAAGAATATCTAATGACGTTTCAATGCGTTTGGACGGAATTAGAATTAAGAAGCAGTATTAGATTTTAAGCAATACCTCAAAAATTTGTGACTCTTTATCAAATCCAACGGTACGTACACACCTAGAAAAATTCATGTAAATTTAGGTGCTCTGAGACTGACATATACGAGCGTCAATTATGACACAAAATTGATTCATAATAGACGCGAAATTCAGCTCAATCAATCGTACTTTTCGTCGAGTAACGAACTTTTCAGTCTCGGAGCACTTAATTTTACATGACATGTTTGTTTACGTCTTATCCTTTATGTCAAAGATGGATTCCGTCACGTGTAAAATTAGGTATTTCTAATAGCGAATTCGTTTATTATTCAGTTCCAACCTGGATCGGGTATCAAGATTGGATCTGCTTGTTTTCTGACAAACGTCAGTTTGCTCGTTTGTTTTTAAAACCTAGCTCAGGTTGAGGTTCGCACTGACAAAAAGTTCGGTTTCGCACTGGGTTGGAACTGGTTCCAACCCCGATAATAAACGAATTCGCTATAAGTGTGTATGGAAAGGTGAATAACATTTAGAAGTCATCTTTGACAGAAATATTCCATTTTTTGTTCAGACCCGTTAAAAAACGAGAGGTAAAACGTGGGTTGTGCTTAGTAGGATGGAAATTAGATCAAAAACCCTACCTATCATACCATCTACTCACCTTCTTCGCGTGGAACTTCTTCGCAACCAGGCTCTTGTGCTCCTGGGTGTGGAACTGTCGGGCAATGAAGTTTTCCAAATCCGAATCCATTTGCGTTCCCTGTTCGTTCTGCTGTTGGGTCGGGCAGTTGAACATATGTTCCCCATCGCACATACAATCTTGGGCCCCTTGATACTCCCGGCTGAATGCGGCCGTATTCTCGAAATCCATCGTGCAACCTTGATCTTCCGAATAGTCCACCGGGCATGGGTTTGGTGGATTGCAGTAAGCCGGTAGACTGGCATCGGTTTTCACTTGCGGCTTTGGCATGTGGGGGCCTTCGCCCGCCCCACCGGATACGTACTGGTGACCCCAGAGTGAACTATGCTGTAGGAATTCTTGGTCCCGGGGTGACGGGTTCGGATTACCATCGAGCAGTGCATCGTAGTCCAGTTGTTCCGATTCTAGATCCTTGCTGGCACGGGCCATCATCGCTAGGCGACCGGGAAACTCGTCCATCGGATCGATGTAGGAATCCGCCGCCTCGGCTATGTCCTTGCCCATGCGATCCACTATCTCTCGCAGCAGCACATCCGACAGTAGCTGATCTTTCAAGCCCGCTGATAGGTATGCCAGTGCCGGTGCACTAGCAACCATCAGCGAGGCCAAAACAAAAAACAAGTACATCTGCTGGTGCTCACACACGGAGAAGCACCGGGGTTAGTCCTGAAACGAGGAAAATTTCAAATCAATTCACTCCCAAGCACACTGCACTAAATTATGAAGAACAAAAAACACAACATCTGGAGCATAGATCTCAGTGTAACACGTTGCTGCGTTGATGACGTTGCAGTATCCCACATTGCTGGAACCTTATGAATGAAATGCCAATGCTCACACTAATCCTTAATGGAGCACTCTCATGCGCATCGGACCACCACCAGGTTATTACAAAAAAATCTATATTTACAATTTTATTGAAATTTGATTCGAAAAACTTCCTGGAAAAGCTACATTTCACAAGGTATGACATTAAATCAGAAACCAAATATCCGTTCGTCCCACTTGTTGTGGGTGGCAGTCAATCAATATCGTACAAGATGTGATGACGTCAGCATCGTTTTCATCATACCAGCTGCGTCAGGAAGTATGGGAAGTTTAATCCCTCCACCACTGCGGATGCACTTTGGATTCCAACATATAATCAACGCAGCTGTCATAGATATAGACTATTTATAGCACAAGCAGTTTTCTACATACTAACTGTTGGATTTTCTCACCAAATGCTAGTGATTTCACCTTTAACAATTCAGTAAACCAATACTGTTGACAAGTGATATATTTATTGTAGTAAAGCAGCTTTTTTTTCTAATTCGCCATTGCCTGTGCATGCCATCTGTGGCTGGTATTACCAAGTTTCGTCCACGTCATCAATGTGAAAAAAAAAGTGCGATACCCATTACCAATTGAAAAAAAAACGTGTATTATTTGCTACCTAAATCAATGCTGGTCATGGAAGGTGAATGGAATTATCCTCCTCAAATTTCTAAATTAAATTCAACACGACACTGAAAAACTGACCTTTGACGCGTCCGTAGAACTTGCTGCGACTTACTGAAGGACCGAAAAGATACTACCTCCGGAGTGACTTCCCGAGGGGTGATAAGCTTCGTCGGCTGAGAGTAGATATATAGCTACGTTCAGATATTCGTTCGCCACCACAATATGGACAGGAAAAAGAAATCGAGCTTTGGCATCGCGTTTGCGGTGGAAAGCGATATGAAAATTAGAACTTTTCAGGAACAACGCATGCGTCAGAAAGCGTGTCGGTGATTGTTCGGCTGTATGAGTGGGACAATGCAAACTTGGGGAAAAATATGTGGGCAAAATTTTTCCGGGAGTTCATCGCTGAAATGGCTGCAAGTACGTTCGAGAAACGATTCTGAGAATTGGTCAGTAGTAAAAATCGCAGCTAGAGGTAGATCGGGAAGGTTTTATGGTTACCCTAAAACAGGGTATCTTTGATAATGCGGGTAACTTTGATAGTAGGGTAAGATGGGGCAAGATCGCCATACGGGGCAAGATGAACACCCTTGATGTATACATCCAAATTGGTATTTTTCTTAAAAATGCATACCTTTATCCATCAAAGATGATTCATAGATACCTACATCATTTCAAAAATAAATATCAAATACACACGTTATTGAAAAATAAATAAAAATGTGAAAACCGACAAAAATACTCTATTTTCTATAAGAAACTACTACTATTGCCATTAAATTAGGTTTTATTGCACCACAAACAAATCACCAGCATGGTAAGTCCGCTTTACTTGATGTGTGTGTGTGTAATTCATTTTTAACTATTTAACAATTTAATTAGCCAAACAAACACTTTAATAAATGTTCTCCAAACGGGGTGGAACGAGCACCTATCTCCGGGGTAAGATCGCCACATCACTACTCAGTGTCCTAACCTCAAAAGCAGCTGTCAAAGTTAAATTTTCAAAACAACAGTGCGGTGAATAAATCTGAAATCTACAAAATGGTCCGAAATTATAAACGCGTTTCCTGTAGAAAAACTTGGGCCACAGCAAATCTTCATGCTGCGGTTGAAGCTGTTGTCTCGGAAGGATTTTCCGTTAACAGAGCTGCATCCGAGTATGGCATTCCTCGGTAAACGCTAACGCGGCATCTTAAACGTAGTGAGAAAGTGAGTCAGTTGGGTCGGTACTGCACCGTTTTTACGGAACAACAGGAGAACGAGCTTGTACTGCATGTGTTAAACATGGAAAAATCGTTCTACGGCCTTACGACCAAAGAAATTCGTCAATTGGCTTTTGATTTTGCGGAAAAAAAAACCACATTCCTCATCCGTTCCACAAGTCCATAGGGTTTGCGGGACAAGATTAGTTGGCCGGATTCCAAAAGCGACATCCTGAGATAACTTTGCGAACTCCGGAAGCTACATCGGTTGCAAGAGCTCAGGGTTTCAATAAAGTGGCTGTTGAGCGGTTTTACTTGATGCTAGAGGAAACCAACACAATAGGAAAATTTTCGCAAACCCGGATCTATAATGTGGATGAAACGTCGGTTCTTACGGTAAGTTGATGTTTCCTTTTTTAATTTTAAATCTACATTGTTGCCTTCTATTTTATTTTAGATTCAAACGAAAAATAAAAGTAAGATTCTGGCACTTCGAGGCAAGCGGCAAATTGGCTGCGTTACATCGACAGAAAGAGGCGTATTAACAACAGCAGCTATTTGTACCTCTGCAACGGGATATTACGTGCCACCCATGCTGATCTTTCCGAGGGTAAGAATGACGGAGCAGCTCAAAATCGGAGCTCCACCTGAAACCCTATGTAGTTGTAATCCAAGTGGTTGGATGACTGGTAAAGATTTCTGTAAATGGCTCCAACATTTCATCCAACATACCAGACCAACACCGGAGAGCCCTATCCTCTTATTGCTGGATGGCCATAGCTCGCACACGAAAAATTTGGCCTTTGTAGAAATGGCCAGATCGGCCAACGTTACTGTTATATCGTTCCCACCACACTGCACTCATAAAATGCAGCCTCTCGATGTTAGCTACATGACATCTCTGAAGTCACATTCTCTCAGGCTGTGGAGTTATTTTTAAAAGCCAACCCTGGAAAAGTCGTGACTTTAAATGAGATTAGCTCCCTCTTTGGAAAAGCGTTCATGGCATCGCGACCCCTTCCACCGCTATTAATGGCTTCAGGAAAACAGGAATAGTTCCACTGAACAAATTTATCTTCGGTGAAGACGATTTTGCTGCATTCAACAACGTTTCGGATGTTCCTCAAACTGTGGATGATGAGCCTCCCTTTTATGGGTTTGGTGACTCTGAGAAGGAGCCAAAGTCATTCAACCGCATAAATACCTCGGTTGATCATCTCCCAAGCAGTGAGCTGGCTTCATGTTCGAATGTAGTGGTCATAACATTACCATCGGAGTTGAAGCCAGTCCCGAAGATAGTGTCCAGGAATAAATCCCGTTCTATGAGGAAAGAAAAAGCTACAGTTATCACATCCAACTCCCATCAAAAAATGCTGAAAACATCAATGGCCGTGAGAGAAATAAAAGAAATTAAAAAACAGAAACGAAAAGTATCGAAAGCTGCAACCGCAAAGTTTTCCAAAAAGAGGAAGTTGAGCTTGCTGGTTGAGGATTCGTTATGCGACAAGTGTGGATCCTTCTTCGGTCAGTCCATGGAAGGAGAAAATTGGAGTAAATGCACAAAGTGTAACGCATGGTTCCATCTTTGTGAGGGTACAAATTGTCCATTTTGCTAATCCGTATCATGAATATAAGAAACTCGTTTAATCAAATAAACTTACCTTATGTTTATGTTTGCTACTTGTTTTGTTCTTTTTACTAATACTGGTATTCTGTGTTAATAAACCAATCCATATCTTCGCTAAAAACATGAAACAATCATTTCAAACCCACTTTTCTATATCCATGCTTGTCTTGCCCCGTAGGGGTACTCATCTTGCCCCAAAGTATATGAGAACAGCAAAAATAAGTTATATTTTTAAGTTACATTTTTTTTTTCAATCAATTCTTTGCATAATATGTTCTACCACAGCTTAGGCACTAGGGTAGACATAAAAGAACTAGGGTAGCCGATATTCTGATGTAAAAAATGCTATTATTCAATATAAAACTGAAGTCTACCTGTAGGTGGCGATCTTGCCCCGTCCTACCCTATAATATAAAGATTAAATTTACTCGTTGTGCTTTTTCCAAATTAGAAACGTAGGTTCCATATTGTAGCTTAGGGTATTTTCGTTGATATCGTACATAGTTTTTATATAGTATGTGCTACATATTTTACAAACATTTAACAAAACAATTTTCGTGTTTTTCGCCTGTTTGAAAAGCACTCAAACCATCACTTATGAAATGTATTTACGATATAACCATCATAAATTCCATGTTGTATTCTTATTTCTTATGATGTTTTCTGATTATATACTCATTCAAAGTTTCATATTAAGAGAACTAAATTGTTTGAGTTTCATTCGTTTTTTTCTACATTCATCGAGCACTATCAAAGTAACCCCAAATCAAAATACTGAACTTCGGTCACAAAACTAAAACAATAGTGCAAATGCTTTAATTTCCGTTAAACATATTACTAACGAATTAAGTCTTGGATCTTCAGTACTTGTTTTAAAAATATAAAATTTGAAAAACATTCATTTCTGTAAAAAAATATTTCGAATATACTTTAAAAAACTATCCATGTTACCCCGTTTTACAGTACTTCAAAAGTTGTCATTGAGTGCTATCAAAACCTTGCCAAAAAGCTCTAGAAAACGCTGCTTGACTAAACTCCGAAAAACGATTGTCTAGGAAGAAGGGGAGCGAGGAGGGGTCTAAATCCTTTCAAAAATCATCTACGTAGTATATAAGCAGCCTCTAAATGTGAATACCATATACATTTTGCTTATCACAGAATTCTAAACCCACTCCGTTGAAGATATACATTAATCGTCTTTAATGCCACAATCTGACCACTTCTTTAGGGACGACCGGGACGCGTTCAGCTATGTCAAATAAGTAGTAGCCACGTTTACACCATTGCATGAGTTTTGGCTCAGGTTAGTAATTGGCCACTTCCCCGGATGTATCCCGAACTTAACTGGAAGTCGCCAACATGATTCTGAGCACAATCTTGTTGTTGATCTAGTTGTTTATTAATTTTAATGTGATTTGATGTCATTACACTATAGGTTTTAAACCAAATCAGAAACTAGTCACTTTCCTGAGGGCATCCAGAATATGCACAGATAAAAATTCTGAATTTTAATTGTGATGTAAACATTCATTCACGCAAACTTGTATTTCATTTCACGCAACCGAGCAACTTGTAAACAATGTTGTTTGCAAAGATGGGCATTTGTATACAATGTTTGCTACATTGCATGAAATTTCTCAGAACTTTACATGATGTATAATGTAAACGTATGTGATATGTGACGCTCCATTTATTTGCATCATATTGAACAGAAATTTACACTACTTTTTCGAACTGTGTGGTCTTGGGCACTTTATTTGATTAAAATTGATCCTGGTTTTGAAATCCAACTAGATTTGATGTGTCGAATGATGGGTACACATTTAGAAAAAATCATATAAATTAAGGTGCTCTGAGAGTGACATATACGACCGCGAAATATATACGAGGCATAACAGACGTGAAATTCAACTAAATCAAACATACTTTTCGTCGAGTAACGAACTTTTCAGTCTCAGAGCATTTAATTTTACTTGAAATATTTGTTTACGTCTGATCCTTTACGTGAAAGATGGATTCCGTCACGTAAAAATTAGTTATTTCTAAGTGTGTAGGCAATATTTCAGCTCAGATCTAGTCAGGCTTGCATGTGCTGTAATTTTAGAGCTGGTTACTTTCTTTTCTTTTCTTTTTAACTCTTTATTTGTTCCAAATTTAAATTAAATTACATTTCATTTTAATCTAGGTGCTCCAGCTACTACAGTAATTCACCACCCTTTATTGTTATGATATATATCTAAGATTATTTACATTGTCCCTACTTCGGCAATTCAGTATTTGAAACAGGTTTTCTATACCTGCAATTGTCACCTTAAAACTATAAACTAAAACTTAATCTTATCTAAAAATAAAAGGAATTAG